GGCTGCCTGCGCGGGCAACACGACGTGACCCCCTCCCCTCCCGCGCCGCAGCTTTGCGCTACTCCGCGCTTCGGCGGTGGAGCAGCAGCTCCACATGTTGGTCCACATGGCCTATCTTCCAGGCTTGCGGTATGGATTCACACTGAAGTCTACCGAGATACTGCTTAGTATACGTTGCATGGTCCGCCCACTTCCCATCCTGCCTTCACTCCACTCCTCCTGATCATCCTCCCCCCTCATGTCTCCCCCACAGGCTCGCAGGCGGCGCCGCTCTCTTTACGCTTGGGCCCCGTAGCCCCACAACGCAGGGAGAGAAAAAGGCTCCGTATCCACAGAGTTGCGCATGGAGGCCTTCCAAATGGGGTCAGAGCAGATTAGGTCGGAGGATCGCGCCTCCTCGTCGATGCATCACCGATGCATCGGCGATACATGGGCGACGTCGGCGATGTATCTGCCATGTCGACGTGGAGAAAGTCAGGCTCCTCAGATCATAGTTCACACCAAAATGGCCCAAAGGGGCGCCAAGAACGCTCCAATAACAGCCGAAGAAGGCCCAAGAGGGCCTCAAGATGTCCCCAATTTGGCTGGTATGCTATGACAGCGTCGGGAGGAATCCTGAAAACGGTCCCAGCACGCCCCAGGAGGACCCCGAGACGGACCAAGAGAGCCTGCGGAAGGGGCTAAGAGGCCCCGAAACGGCCAGGAAGGATCCAAGACAGCTCTAGAGAGCGCCCAAAGATCCGCAAGATGGACGCGCATAGGCTGATCAACGTCCCAGGAACCCCTCCAGAGGCCCCCCACCTGCTGTTCAAGTCTGACCCCTCCCCCCTTGTGGTTCATTTCTCCAGATATCATTACGCCTCCTGCCTCTGTCGTTCCTCGTTCCTACCGCACGTGCTCCACCAGCCTGCGTCACAGCGCGTGCATGCTGTGTCAGGACATCTTTCTCTCCGTGCTCCGTTGCCCCTCCTTCCTTCACGTGCTCCGCCAGCTGGCATGACAGCGCATGCACTCTGTTTCAAAACAGCTGTCTCTCCTTCCTCCGTCAGTCCTCGTTATTCCTGCAAGTGCTCTGCCACCCGGCGTGACAGCAAGTGCATTATTTGTCACGGCAGTTTGATTTTCTTTCTCTAGCATTATTCGGTTCTTCTGTACGTGATCCGCCATCCAGCGTGACAGCGCGTGCGTTCCGAAAAAACAGGTTTCTCTTCGTCCTCAGTCATGTCTCGTTTCCCCCGCACGTGATCAGCCAGCCGGAGCGATATCACTTGCATTATGTTTCGTTGCACCCTGTTCTTTCTCCTCCCAACTCTTCCCCGCCCGATTCCACCCAACTTCACTCCTCCCCGTGTCTCCCCACTCCTCCCCTCGTCCCACTCAACTCCACTCCACGCCGCCCATCCTTGCCCGCTCCACTACATCCACCCCTCCCCACTACTGCTCACTCCTTCCCATTCTTACCCGCTCCACCCCTCCCCACTCCTCCACATTCCTTTGCACCCTGGACGTGCACGGCTTGCTCTCTCTCTCTCTCCCCCCCGTGCACGGCTTGCTCTCTCTCTCTCTCCCCCCCGCTCCACATTCCTCCCGTCTTTCCATTATTACACACTCCTTCCCATTTCTCCCCGCTCCTCCCGAATCCGTTTCATTCAACTCCAGCCAATTCCACTGCACTCCGCTCCTCTCTTCCGCGCTCATTCCCACACACTCGCACATCTCTCCAGCCATCCCCACTTCATGTCTCCATGATCTCCCCCACCTCCGCATTCGTCACCTTACTCCACTTGTCCCCACTCCTCCCAACGAGCATTCCCAGGGAAATCACATCGTGTAAACAAACAGGAAGCCAATGTTTATACTTATGCGTGGTCGGCAGCTCCCAGTTTCCCAAACCAGCGCCAAAGCAAATACAAACAAGCGCGACGACATCCCAAGACCAGCAACCTACGATCTCGACACAAGTCAAAGCCCCAAGGCTGTTCAGCGATCTCCCCGACGAACCCGCAAGCCAAGACCTGCGTATCGTGACAAAGATCTAGAAACCTTGGATGGTGACCTTGGGGCCAAAGACACCTGCCTCCCCAAGATAGCAACACCACTCCAAGGAAGCCCTGCGACATCCCACAACCGACCCAAGACGGCCGCAACCCCTCTCTGACAGCGAGTCGTCCCCCCAGGATTGTCCAATGACTCCCCCGACGACCCCGCAAACCCCGACCCACGCGTCCTCATAGTGCCATGGGCTTCGTTAGAACCGAAGCGCGCGGGTGGTTCCAGTATACATGTGTTTGAGCTCGACATGGGAGCACCCAGGAGTAATGAGGACAATCCAACAGGTGCCGTGAAACAATTGTGGCAACGTGGGAGGTAACAGGGACACAGCAATGGGCGAGGGGTGATACGTGATAGTGCAGCCAAGTGCCCCCCGCGCGCTTCTGAGACGGGCAGAAACTATGCACCCGATACCCGTGTGCATTGTCCCTTCCTATCCTCTTACCGCAGCAGCAGAACAAGTCGCCATCTGGACACAAGGTTGAGATCCCTGCCGCTCGCGGAGATCTCTCCTGGCTTGATGGCTGGCGCGAAGGACGGCAAATGGGAAGCCTTCAGGATGGTGAAAGATGACAACGTAGAAGGCTTGCGGGATATTTTGTCGAGGCACCGTCCTGAGGAGTGGTCGAGCTGGCAAAACTACAGCGGCAAAACGCTGTTGCAGTTGGCTGAGTCCGAGCACGAGCGCGACTCGGCTGGTATTGGCGACTGCCTCGCGTATTTGACAGAGCGGTTTGCAGGTGCTGCCAGTATTTTGAACCAGGCCGGGGCCAATGCAGTGCGAGCGACTGGCAGGGCGGAGCCCCCGTTCAGGCAGCCCGTTTTCGCCGAGCCCGTGACCATTCCGAGCGGGCATCCCGTCATCACCGAGCCGATGGCCATGCCAACGCCTACTGTGCCGCAGCCGGTCTTTACAGAGCCTGTCTCTTTCCCGAGCCGGCAGTTGGTGAGTTCCGAGCCGGTAGCCAGGCCAGAGCTTGTAGTGCCCATGCCAGTCCTGGAATCGCGGCAGGTGGTCTCGGACACACAGGTGGTGCACCCCCACGTCGTGGAGAGGGTCGTGGAGGTGGTGGATGTGCAGGACACTCCCGTGATCGTGGAGGTGCCGCAGAAACACACCCACACGATCACAAGGGAGATCCCGCGCGTGAACATACACGAGACCACGGAGGTCCACGAGGTGCCTGTGCACCACAGGGAAGAAGTTCTGAATGTGACAACGTATCCCGAGATCTCGTACCGCAACGAGCCCCGGGTCACTGTCCACGAAAAGGTCGAGGTTGTGGCGAGACCCATCCAAAAGGAAACGGAGGAGTTCGTCGAGGAGTTTCATGCGCCTCCAACGGTGGAGACGCAGAGGATGCTCCTCCGCCCAGAGCCGCAGCTGGTCCCGATAATGATGAAGGTGGACCCGCAGGTTACCACACAAGAGGAGACGAAGGAGTACGACTTCAACTACCCCGTGCGGCGCACGGAGGTGCTCCTCAAGCCAGAGGTTCGGCAGATTGTCGTGGAGCGCACCGTCGCCGCGAAGGAGGAGCGGATCATCGAGGTGCCCGAAACCCAGACGCAGACTCGCGTGGTCGAAGTGCCCGAGGTGACCACGATCCGGAAGATCCATCACATACCGGCCTACCACCAGATGGAGACGGAGTGGCGCCCGCCCGATCGGCCGCGGGACTCGCGGGAGCCCGTTGCCCGGCCGCGCGGGCCGGTTGCCACGGGCGGCGGCGTGGGGAGCCAGGCGTTCCAGGGGATGTCCTTCGACCAGATATCCAGGCACCTTCGACAGAGCCGCCGCCGTGCCAACGCAGTCGATCAGACGTAGGAGTGAGCTCTCGCCGGAGTGACCTCTGGTGCGGGCCAGATGGGGCCCCCCGATCGCCGAGCGCGAGGTGGCAGTGGCGTCTTGCGCGCTTCCGTTTGGCCCCCTCGCGGCCCCCCCAAAGCCGCGCACCAAAGGTCACTCTTACCCAGGGTCACGCTTGCGTGTAGCCGAACGCAGCAGTCTGTGTGGCGACCTCTGGAGCACCGCCCAGGAGGCCGTCACGCGTGACGCGTCTCGCCTCCATCCCTGAGGCCCAGGCAGTGCTCTGGGGGTCTCTGGGGGGAGTCTTGGGGCTGTCGTGGGCTCCTGTGGGACAATCGTGGGAGTGCCGTGGTGATCCCCTCTTGAGCCATCCTGGGGTCCTCTTGCGCGCGAGCCGTCTTTGGGCTCTCTGTGCCGCCTGGGAGCCCCTTCGGGCCCTCTCTGAAGCAGTCCTGGGGCCTTCTGCGAACGTCTTGGGGCCCGCTGAGGCCATCCACGGTCCCACCGCCGGCATGCTGGGGCCAGCTCGGGGCACTCTTGGGCTTGGGGCTCACAGTGGGCCCCAGTTGGACCCTCGAAAACAGCAAGTGGACTGATGTTCCACCGAAGAGCGTGGAACGCGAAGATAATTGGAACGCCAGAAACGGATCAATGTGTTTGGCCTCTCGAGGGCCTCCTGGAGTGCTTTGATGCTTGTTGGAGGTCTCTTGGGACCCCTCGGTCACCTCTTACAGTGGAGGCCCATGCCAAGAAACACCCTGCTTGGGCTCCTATGGCCTTCCTGTGGAAGGCCTGACGTTCCCACGCCGAAAATCGAGGGACGTCCTGGGGTCTCGGGGCTGGGTGTCTTGTGGAAGGTTTCTTGTGGACTGGCCTCCACTGCAAGAGCTCTTGGGCGCATCTTGAGGCAACGCCGGGCCATCCTGGCGGTCCTGGTGGCCCGTCGGGGCCATCTTGGAGGCCGTGGAGTACCCTGGAGAGAGGTGGCGTCGGGCCCTCAAGGAGGCCTCGGGACAGGGGACGAATCGTGTGAAAAGGGTGCACCAAAATGGGCGGGGAACCGCGTGTGGGCTTTGCCACTGGGGCCTTCGATGTCCCTTTGGGGCCACGAAACGCGTGAGGGGCGTACCGAAATGGGCGGGGAACCTCATGCGGACCCTGCCACTGATGCCGTCGCTGGAGCTCCCTGTGGGGCCACGACACGTGTGAGGGGTGTGCCCAAATGGGCGGGGTGGGGGGGCAATGCACGCAGCTGTGTGTGAGGAGTGGGGGGTGGATCGGGAGCCTACAGAAGCCTTATGATGTTCCAACGTATTTTTGCCTTGACCACCAGGAGGGATGTCGAGCACCAAGCAAGTGCCCGAACTGGAGGGTTTTCACGCGCCGGGCCCTGGGAGACGAGACACGTTCGACACTGTTTCGATACTTCTCTGGGTGCTCGAGACTATTTCTGGGACGTGGCCCTTCAGCACGATGGGCACAGCACAACAGAAGCCCTGCCAGACGGCACCCGGGACTCCGCCGCGCCTCGGCGTGCCAGAGGGCACGGCGGCGGAGACGCCGACGGCGACGGCGTGATCACGCGCGAGGAGCTCCGGTCGGCCATGGCAAGGCCCACCACGGAGGACCTCGACGGCGACGCCGGCGAGGCGCTGACCGCGGAGCTCCAGCGGATGCGCGACCTCCACCGGCAGCTGGAGGAGGAGGGCGTGCAGCTGCAGGAGGAGCTGCGGCGGCGCCAGGCGGAGGCCCAGCAGCTCGTGGAGGAGCTCACCGCGGAGCGGCGGCTGCGCCAGGACGCGGTTCGTTGCTGTACCCTTGAGTCGGGCACGTCCGTCTACAGGAGGAACATTCCGAACTGCTCAAAAGAATAAGCTGGGGACGTGAGTAGCAGATATGTTTTGGCTATGTCTTAGTTGTCGTGCAAGATCCCCCTGTAGGAGGACGTGCTCGACCTAACCCTGGCAGTAGCGGGGGTGCCTGTGTGGGGCGGGGGGCGGTCACGTCACGATTCGCGCTCGCGCCGTCTGGGAGTGCTCAGGAGCAAGCAGTGGCGAGGCGTCCTGGCTGGCCTATAGGCCCACCGAAGAGTATTCTAAGAACCTTTTGTGGTCTGATCGAAATGTTATTGAATCGCTTCGCTCATTCCGCCGGCCCGTGATATGGCATCGCTGGTTTTTGTCTGTGTGTTCGTTGCCCATGTTGCGCTCTTGGGGGCGGGTGTCGTTCGGACGCGTTGCGTGGGGAGTTTTGATGGTGAAGCAGTTCCCTGGGGGTCGTCTCTCGATGGGGCGAAATAGAGTCGTCGTCAAGATGCTTCTTTGGGGGGCCTCTTGGGGTCTGTTGAGAGGCCGTTCGGGGGCGCCTGGGAGACATGTTTGAAGCCTTCTGGGGCTTCTTTTGGGCCTCCTGGGAGTCTCCTGGGGCCTCTTGGCGACATCTTGGGGCCTCTTGGAGGCCTCTTGGGGCCTCTTTGGGACCTCCTGGGCGCCTTCTGGGACGGAGGGCTCCATTTTTGAGTTCTCGGTATCCCTCCTGAGTCCCTCTTGGGCCCGTCTTGGGGCCTCTTGGTCCGTCTTGGGCGGCACTTGGGCCGTCTTGAGGGCTCTCTTGGGTCGTTTCGGCGCCGTCTTGGGAGCTTCGTGGGCCGTCTTGGAGCGGTCTTGGGGGCCTCTTGGGCCGTCTTGGAGCGTCCGGAAGCCGAAAAAGCCAGAACACAAAAAACATGAAAAAAAAAAATGATCAACGATTTTGGCCTCTTGGGGCTCTCTTCGGAGGCCTCTTGGAAGGCTCTTGGGGCGTCTTGGAGGCCTCTTGGGCTGTCTTGGGGGCCTTTTGGGCCGTCTTGGGGTCATCTTCGGCGTCTTCGAGCGCTCTTTGGGCGTCTCGGGGGCCTCTTGGGCAGTCTTGGGGGCCTCTTGGGGCACTCTGAGCGCGCTCTGGGGAGCCTGAGAGGCCGCACCCAGAAGGAAAACCATCTCTGAGTAGACTTGGTCGGGCGGCGGTCGGGCGGCGGGGCGGCGACCGGGCGTTGGTCGGGGTACTTTTCGCCGGGGGACCCCCAGGGGCCGCCCCGCGCGCGCGAACTAGAAATACTGTTAATACTGTTAACCAGTTACCGGAGATCTTAGCACGCCCTGGCCCGTTGGGCCGGCGAATTAGAGCATTTCTGGCTGAGACTGTCTTGCGATTCGTGACGCTACCAGGGGAAGGGGCCCAGACCCCCGACGTCATGGTTTTGTCATGACGTCGACCCCGGGACCGGCTCTTCATCCCGAGTCGTTTTCTGACGGCCCCGAGGCCTGGCGAGGGCCTTCCCTGGAGGCCGGAAATAGTTGAATACCTCCCGCCGTGATCTTTGTCAAGACCCGAGGGGGGTCTGGGGGGGGGGGAACTGGGGCTGGTCACGAGCGGTACAGTGGAAACCCGTGCCAAGAAACACCCTGCTTGCCTTCAGGGTGCCTTGGGTTTCTTGGGCTTCGATGGTTTTGCTGTGGAAAGCGTGACGCTTCCACACCAAAAAATCCATACACGTCCTGAGATCTCAGGGTTGGGTTTCTTGTGGAAGGTTTCTTATGGTCGAGCTCCTGACTACTGTGCGGCACTGGATCTGCGTTTGTCGGAGATTTGGGGGAATAAACGCACGCTCAGCCACAAGGACCGCAATTCCACCTGCTGAGCCCCCGCGCCCAGTCGCCACCGACGGAGCCCACGCTCCCATCATGCCTGCAATCTTTCCACTGTGCCGAGGGCCTGGCAGTCGGGGCAGGTCGCCGCTGTGCTCTTGGACCAGGACAACCCCACAAGTGCATCTCAAATCATACAGCCAACCCACAGTAAGGATGAGCAGCCTTCCCAAGGGTACCCTTGCATCCTTGCCTCCTCGGTCCATCCTTGGCCACTTTCGTTGGCCGCGCCCCACTCGAGCAGCTTCGACATGGGCGTCCAGGGCCCCTGCATCCTTATCGCGCATCCTTATGATACGGGCCGACCGACGTTGCGAAAAAAATGCAACATCGCGGAAAATCACGCCCGAACGCCCAGACCCCATTGTTCAGCTTCATTTTTCGAGCTGGATCAATCTATGAGGGTCTCGGGGCCCGAATCGGGACGACAACGCCTGGCGTGAAAAAAATGCGACGCCAGGATCTCACGGAAACCCATACGTGTATCGCAAATCATACACCGAGCAGGCCGTCGTCGTCGTCGTCGTCGGGCGGGCGGGCTCCAGGAGCTGGCCGTGCGGCTGCGCGCGGAGCCGCAGCTGCGCTGGGCGGCGCGCGCGGCGCCGCCCCCTCGGGCCGAGGATTCAGTCGGGCCTGTCCGCCACATATAGGAGGAATATCCAGAAACAGTCCACAAATAGACCGGGGACGACGATTCTTCTGCTGTTCTCCTGCACATGCTTGGGGCACTTGGGTTTTTCGTCCAAAGTCCGCCTGTGGGAGGAAGCGCCCAACCGAAGCAAGGGCGCCCTCGAGGGCGCGAAGTAAATCGCGGGTTCGCGCTTCGCGGTTCGGCTCCGGGTCCTCCTCATCCTGTTTTTCTCCCCTGGGAGGCGGCGCGAGAGCGCGAAGTTATTCGCGCTTCGCGCAGCGCAAAGCGGGAAGTTGGGAGCCCTTGGATGTCATGGCCGTGGCCATGGTATCTCCCAGATTGCGAGGGTCTCACGGACGGGGCCGCCGACCCTGCGGGCGGGGCCTCCCCTGGGCCCCCCGCTGGCGACCCCGCGGGGGCCGCCGGCATCCCAGGCAGGGCTCGTTTCGATCCCTTCGATTCGATTCGACTTCGATAGCTCCGACTCCGATTCGAGTCGACTTGGGATTCCGATCTGGGCTCCGACTCCTCACTGGAGGCAGACGAGCTTGCCCTTGCTAAGCCGAGGAGCCGCCGGCGTTAAGATGTTAGTCTAAACTCCTGTTACCAAAACTTAAGATCTAAACTTGAGATGTTAGTCTACACTCCTGTTGCCAAAACGCCGTCTTCTGGAGGAAGGTCGCGGGGCTGTATATGTCTGGATCATTTTGGCTGTTCGTCCCCAATCCGCCTGTGGGAGGAGGTGCCCAACCCAAGCCAGGGCCTCCCCTGGGCCCCCCGCTGGCGACCCCTCGGGGGCCGCCGGCATCCCAGGCAGGGCTCGGTTTCGATCCCTTCGATCTGCTTCAATTCCACTGCGATGGCCTCCGACTCCGATTCGAGTCGACTCGGGATTCCGCTCTGGGTTCCGACTCCTCACTGGAGGCAGACGAGCTGGCCCTTGCTAAGCCGAGGAGCCGCCGGCCGAGGAGCCGCCCCCGACGCCCTCGCGCGCCGCCCGGCCGGTGGCGCCGGCGCTGACGCCGTCGCACCACGGCGGCAGCCCGCCGGACGAGGCCCTCGAGCAGGGGCGAAGCGTCCTGGCTCGCCTATAGCCCCGCCAAACAGTGTTCCGAGAACCTCCTCCTCCTCCTGCTTCTCCTCCTCCTGCTCCCCCTCCTCCTCCTCCTCCTCCTCCTCCTCCTCCTCCTCCTCCTCCCCCTCCTCCTCCTCCTCCTCCTCCTCCTCCTCCTCCTCCTCCTCCTCCTCCTCTTCCTCACACACTTCCTCCGCACGTTCCTCCGAGTGGCGAAGCGTCCTGGCTCGCCTAAAGCCCTACCAAACAATGTTCTAAGAACCTGTTGCGGTTTCCGGGGAATGTTCTTAGAGCATTTCTGGCTTGGGCTGTCCTATTTTAGCACATCGGGAGTCTGTTCTAAGAACACTGCTTTTGTTCTTGGAACATGCTTTTAGGTTATACGAACAGTTCGTGGTAGGACTATAGGAATGCCGGGACGGTCGGTCCCTGCTCAAGAGGCCCAGCTCGAAATACTCAAAACTAGTTCGAAAAAATATAGTCTGAGGACATTTGTTTTGCAGGCTTAAGTCTGTTCGGATGTTTGTTTTTTCATGTTGTTTATTTTTCCGCCCAACTCCGCCTGTAGGGGGGCACGCCCGACCAAAACGTAAAGTTTCGGCGCTCCGCGCGGATTTTTTGGATCCGCGCTGGCCCCCGCCCTGGCGGCGCCTCTGGCGCCGCCCCTGGCGCGCTGCGCGCACCGGGGGTGGCCCAGCGCGGATCCAAGAAATCCGCGCGGATCGCAAACAGTTTATGTTTATGCGTTTCTTCCTCTACCAGCGCGCGGAGGGGCTCTATCGGAGGCCTAGAGGTTGACACCAGCACCAAGATCGGCGGCGTGCCTTCACCGAAGGAAGATGCCCCCGATCTCGGTGATGGTGGTGAGATGTCGGGCTTTTGAAGTGGTCGAACTATCACCACCAGCACCAGAATCTAGGATCATCTTACCCCTGTGGAGGCAGGCCTCCTATAGGCTTAAGTCGGGCATGTCCCTCCTCTACAGGAGCAATATTCAAAAATAGTCCAGAAATAGTATGGGGACGATGTTTCGACATGTTTAGACTCTTTCGGAGTATTTTGTGACAATGATTCATGTTTCCTTTAAAATCCGCCTGTAGGAGGACACGCCCGACCTAAACGTAAAATTTCGGCGCTCCAAGCGGATTTCTTGGATCCGCGCTGGCCCCCGCCCCGGCGGCGCCTCCGGCGCCGCCCCTGGCGCGCTGCGCGCACCGGGGGTGGCCCAGCGCGGATCCAAGAAATCCGCGCGGATCGCAAACAGTTTATGTTTATGCGTTTCTTCCTCTACCAGCGCGCGGAGGGGCTCTATCGGAGGCCTAGAGGTTGACACCAGCACCAAGATCGGCGGCGTGCCTTCACCGAAGGAAGATGCCCCCGATCTCGGTGACAGTGGTGGTGAGATGTCGGGCTTTTGAAGTGGTCGAACTATCACCACCAGCACCGGAATCTAGGATCATCTTACCCCTGTGGAGGCAAACCCCGGTGGTGGTGGTGGTGCCCATTTCCAAGCCTCCAACTCTAGGCCTCCTATAGGCTTAAGTCGGGCATGTCCCTCCTCTACAGGAGCAATGTTCAAACATAGTCCAGAAATTGTATGGTGACGATGTTTCGACATGTTTAGACTCTTTCGGAATATGTTTTGACAATGATTCATGTTTCCTTTAAAATCCGCCTGTAGGAGGACATGCCCGACCTAACTCTAGGCCTCCTAGATGGGGTCCGAGTTGATGGGGTCGAAGGATCGCGCCGCATCGCCGATGCATCGACAATGCGGCTCGATGCGGAGCCTGATTTTTTCCACGCTGGCGTCGCCGATGCGCCGCCGACGTCGGCGATACATCGACGATGTATCGTCGATGCATTGGCGATGCGGCGCGATCCTCCGACCCCATCTACTCGGCCTCCCATCGGGGAGGCCTCCAGGGGCGCCGGTCGCCGCTGGGCCAGCGGGGCAGCGGCTCTCGGAGAAGGAAGTGCGGCCGGGCTCGCTGCGAAGTCCTGACCAGAGCGCACCCTGGGGTTATGATGCTCCAACCTATCTTAGCCTTGATTTTCAAAAATAATTTCGAGCACCAGGAAAGTACCGAACCTTAAGGGTTTTCACGCGTCGGGCCCTGGAAGGCGATACTCGCTCGACGCTGTTTCGACACTCTCTCTGGGTGCTCAAAATTATGTCTCGGATGTGGTCCTTAGGATGGGAGCAATGCAACCCTGGGAAAGGTCTGGGGAGATTCGGGCCGGACGAAAAGGGGGGATTGGGAAAGGGGGGGTTACGAAATTTGCTGCATGCAGCTGGATTCGGCCTCACCGAGGGGCCCATTCCTCGATACATGGCCGCCTCCGGCGCCGGGAGGCGCAGGGAAAATCAGCTACGTGAGCTGATTCTCAAACCCCCCCTTTGCTATCCCCCCCTTTCGCCCGACCCGAGAGGTGCGGCATCGGTACCTTTTGGTTTCCCCAGGCTCCCCGCCGTCGCTGGGCGGGGCTCCAGCTGGTGGCCACGGCCCCCTGGCCAGCTCGGTGTCTAGGGGCAACGTTCGGGGGGGGTGATAGGCACACAGGGGGGGACGCATGGGCCACCAATCGCCCATGGTCCTCCTCCTCCTCCTCCTCCTCCTCCTCCTTCTCCTCCTCCTCCTCCTCCTCCTCCTCCTCATCCTCCTCCTTCTCCTCCCCCTCCTCCCCCTCCTTCCCCTCCTCCCCCTCCTCCCCCTCCTCCTCCGGTTTCGGTATTGGAGGTCCATCGCCGATCTGTCGGCGATGTCTCGCCGATTGCAGGTGGCTGTTTCCCCCCCCCCCTGAGCAGTCCCCCCCGATCGTTGCCCTTCAGGTGCGCAGGGGCATGGAGCAGTGGCTGTGCGACTCGGCGGCGGCCTGAGGCCGCGGACATTATTCCCCCTCGTCGGCTCTTCGCCTCCTGTCGTGCCCGTCTCCGCCTCCTCTCTCTGCTGCCTCCTCCGCCGCCTCGTGTTCCTCGTGCTCCACCTCCACCACCTGATCCTCCTGCCTCTCCCTCTCATCATCTGCCTCCCCCTCCTCCCGCAGCCTATCCTGCTTCTGTGCGTTTTCTCCCCCTCTGCCGATTTCACCACCATGAGCATGCTATATGAGTGCAGCTCTGCATTCAAAAGATCATACCAAAACCTCGCCGTTGCGGACAAGAGTGAGAGGGCGCCAGGGTTGCATCGTTGGGGCTGCGGGGCCCAGGAGTCAACAGAAAGAATCCCTCTGCAGGCGCCCCTTTGTTTCCGATGCACGCAGCCCGATGCAGGCGCTGATGTGTTCCCAACACAGACAGCCTGGCGCAAGCGGTGAAAATTCCCCCAACATCGCTTGCACTTCAGAAAAGAGCGCGTTCTGTGGTCGCTTGGAGGGGGGGGGGTGGAACCAGACCCCCCCGCCGCCCCCTGGATGGAGGGGAGGGAGGGTTCAAACCCCCCTTCCCCCCCCCTTCCTGTGACGGAGGGTGGCGGGTCGGACACCCCCCACAATCCCCCTCTTCCCTCCCTATCATCTCTCTTCGGGCCGGCGCCTGCGTCGGCGGCGGCTGGCGGCGGCGGCAGGGACGACGATTTCCTATTCTGGGCCAGCGCCGCGGCGCCTGCGGCGGCAGGCGGCGGCGGCGGGGAGCGTCGACGAGGACGACGCTGGTGGTGGTGGTGGTGGTGGTGGTGGTGGTGGTGGTGGTGGTGGTGGTGGTGGTGGTGGTGGTGGTGGTGGGTTGTGGTGGTGGCGGTGGTGGTGGTGGTGGTGGTAGTGGTGGAATCGTCGCTGCGTCCCCGCCGTCGCCGGCGCCAGCGCCGGCGCTGCTGGCTGCCGCCAGCGCCGGCGCCACGTGTGGTTTGTTGTGGTGGTGGTGATTGTGGTGGTGGTTGGTGGTGGTGGTGGTGGTGGTAGTGGTGTGGTGGTGGTGGTGGTGGTTTGGTGGTGGGGTAGTGGTGGTTTGTGGTGGTGGTGGTGGTGGGTTGTGGTGGTGGTGGTTTGGTGGTGATGTGCTGGTGGTTTGTGGTGGTGGTGGTGGTGGGTGGGTGGTGGTGGTGGCGGTGGTTTGTGGAGGTCGTGCTGGTGGTGGTGGTGGCGGTGGTGGTGGTGGCGGTTTGTGGTGGTGGTGGTGGTGGTGGTGGTGGGCCGTGCTGCTGGTAGTGGCAGTGGTTGTGGTGGTGGTGGTGGTGGTGGTGTGGTAGATTGTGGCGGTGGTGGTGGTAGTTGTGGCTGTGGTGGTGGTGGTTGTGTGGTGGGGTGGTGGTGGTGGTGTGGTAGATTGCGGTGGTGGTGGCTGTGGTGGTGGTGGTGGTGGTGGTGGTGGTGGTGGTTGTGTGGTGGGTTGGTGGTGGTGGTGGTGGTGGGTTGAGGCGGCGGTGGTGGTGGTAGTGGTGGTGGTGGTGGTGGTGGTGGTGGTGGTGGTGGTGGTGGTGGTGGTGGTGGTAGTGGTGGTAATCGTCGCTGCGTCCCCGCCGTCGCCGGCGCCAGCGCCGGCGCTGCTGGCCGCCGCCAGCGCCGGCGCCACGGGGGGGGGGCAGGTTTTGAGCCCCCCCCCCTTTTGGGCTGCCTCTGGTCATCGTCGCTGCGTCCCCGCCGTCGGCGCTGCTGGCGGCCGCCAGCGCCGGATCCAGCGCCGGCGCGCGCCGAAAGAGGGGGGGGGGGGTTGAACCCCCCCCCCTGAGAGGGCGAGGCGGGGGGGGGGGTCGGGAGGGGGGGGGCTTGGAGGGGAGGGGAGTCCCCCTGGTTTTGATCGACGGCGCCGAGTGATGGGGGGGCGCCCACCCCCCGTTTCGCAACGCGCCGCCGAATGTTCCCAAGCGCCCGTGAAACGCGCTCTCTTCACTTTAGAGCTCTGGCCTGCGTTCTTATGGAACTAGATCAGTCCGGCCACGTTTCGACGCGTTGCCGCCCATGGCCGCCTCGTTGCCGCCTTTGCGCTGGGTGGGTCTGGTGAGGTTTCGCCTCGTTGCCGCCCGTCGCCGCATCGTTGCCGCCTCGTGCGTTGGGTGGATCTGGCGAGGCTTCGCCGCGTTGCCGCCTCGTTGCCGCTTCGTGCGCTGGGTAGGTCCAGCGAGGTTTTCGCAACGTTGAATCCCGTTGCCGCGTCGTTGCCGCCTCGTTAGGCGGACGGCCGTGCCTGGCGAGTTTTCGCCACGCTGCCGCCCGTTGCCGCCTCGTTGCCGCTTCGTGCGCTGGGTGGGTCCAGCGAGGTCTTCGCAACGTTGAATCCCGTTGCCGCTTCGTTGCCGCCTCGATAAGCGGACGGCCGTGCCTGGCGAGGTTTCGCCACGCTGCCGGCCGTTGCCGCCTCGTTGCCGTTTTGTGCGCTGGGTGGGTTTGGCGAGGCTTCGCAACGTTGCCGCCAGTTGCCGCCTCGTTGCCGGCTCGCGCGTTGGGTAGGTCTGGCGAGGCTTCGCCACGTTGCCGCCCGTTGCCGCCTCGTTGCCGTCTCGCGCGCTCGGTGGGTCTGGCGAGGTTTCGCCACATTGGCGCCCGTTGCCGCCTCGTGCGTTGGGTGTGTCAGCGAGGTTTCGCCACGCTGCCGCACGTTGCCGCTTCGGTGCCGCCTCGTGCGGTGGGTGGGTCTGGTGAGGTTTCGCCTCGCTGCCGCTGCATATTGCCTCGTTTCACCCGTTGCCGCGTCGTTACCGCCTCGTGCGCTATGTGAGTGTGTGTGTGCTTGGGAGCGCTCGTCACGTTGCAGCCTGTTGCCGCCTCGTTGCCGCCTCGTGCGCTGGGCGTGTTGTGGGTTTGGCGAGGTTTTGCCACATTGCCGCCCATTGCAGCCCCGTTACCGCTTCGTGCGCTGGGTGGGTCCAGCGAGGTTTCGCCACGATGCAGCCTGTGGCCGCCTCGTTGCCGCCCGTTGTTGACTCGTTGCCGCCTCGTGCGATGGGTGGGTCTGGCGAGGTTTCGCCACATTGCCGCCTGTTGCCGCCTCGATGCCCTCGCGTTGTCGCCTCATTGCAGCCTCGGGCGCTGCGTGGGTCTGGCCAGGTTTCGCCACGTTGTCGCCCAGTGCCAACTCGTTGCCGCCTCGTGCGCTTGGTGGGTCTGGCGAGGTTTCGCCACGTTGCCGCCCTCGTTGCCGCCTCGTGCGCCGGGTGGGTTCCGCGAGGCTTCACCACATTACCACCCGTTACCCTCTCGTTGCCGTCTCGCGCGCTGGGTGGGTTTGGCGAGGTTTCGTCACGTTGCAGCCTGTTGCCGCCTCGTTGCCGCCTCGCTTGCTGGATCGATCCGGCGAGGTTTCACCGTCCGTGGCTCTCTCGTTGCCGCCTCGCGCGCTGGATGGGTCCCGCGAGGTTTCGCCACATTGGTACCCGTTGCCGCCTCGTCACCGCCTCGTGCGCTGGGTGGGTCGATGCTTCGCCACGTTGCCGCCCATTGCCGCCTTGTTGCCGCCTCGCGCGCTGGGTGGGTCTGGAGAGGTTTCGCGATGCTGCACTGCAGCAGCTGCAGCCCGTCACCTCCTCGTTGTTGCCGCCTCGCTCGCTGGGTGGGTCCGGCGAGGTCTTCGCATTACTGCCCGTTGCCGCCTCGTTGCCGCCTCGTGTGCTGTGTGGGTCTGGCGAGGTTTCGCCACGTTGCCGCCGTTGCCCGACTTGTTGCCGCCTCGCGCGTTGGGTGGATCTGGCGAGGTTTTGCCACGTTGCCGCCCGTTCACGCCAGTTTGCCACATCGAGCGCTGGATGGTTCCGGCGAGTTTTCGCCACGTTGTCGTCCGACGCCGCCCCGTTGCCACCCGTTGCCGCCTCGATGCCGCCTCGTGCGCCGGGTGGGTCTGGCGAGGTTACTCCACCTTGCCGCCCCGAGCGATGGGAGGGTCCGGCGAGGTTTCGCCACATTGCCGCCCGTTGCCGCCTCGTTGCCGCCTCGTGCGCCGTGTCGGTCTGGCGAGGTTACGCCGTGCTGCCGTCCGTTGCCGCCTCGTTGCCGTCTTCTGCGCTTGGTGAGTCCAGCGAGGTTTCGCCACTTTGCCGCCTGTTTCTGCCTCGTTGCCGCCTCGTTGCTGCCTCGTGCGCTGGTTGGGTTCGGCGAGGTTTCGCCACGTTGCCGCCCGTTGCCGCCTCGTTGCCGCCTCGTGCGCTCTGCACTGAACAACGCGGGTGTGCCACGGTCGCGGGTGGGTCGCTGGTTGGTCGCTGTGGGGTCTGCCGGTACCGATTTGTTTCGACTTCGGTGGCTTCCGATTCTGACTCGATTCGACTTGGGATTCCGATTTGGATTATGACTCCTCACTGGACGCGTACCAGCCTGCCGATTTCTGCCGATTCGACTTTTCCCGATTCGGCTGCCGACTGCCGTCGATCCGATTCATGCCGATCGCCGATCCGACTTGTCGATTCGATTCTGGGTTCTCCTGCGGGTGGATCGCAGGTGGGTCGCGGGTGGGTCGCGGATGGGTTGCGTGCGGAGCGCGAGTGGGTCGCGGGTGGGTTGCGGGTCGGTCGCGGGTATGGGTCGCGGGTGCGAGGCGTGGGTGGGCGTCGTGGGTCGCGGGGCGAGTCGCGGGGCGTGTCGGGCGCAGGTTACCGGTGGGTCGCGGAGCGGAGGGCGACATCTCAAATAGCAGCCGCAATTCGTTCTCCACCGTTCGCTTGATGTCCAGCATGTATACCAAACGCCCTTGCTTCCCGATGTTTGTCAAGACTGTTCGTTCTCCACCGTTCGCTTGAGGTTCAGCATGTATGCCAAAAGCCCTCGTTTCCCGCCCTCTTCGTGTATGAACGTGCCCCCTCTGGCGAGGGGGTCTTCTGGGGGTGTGGGTCCCGACATGTGAGGCAAGCGGGTCGGGGAGGGGGGGCGGGTCGGGCGGGCGGGCACTAACGGGTGGCACGAGCAGGCAGACCACAAAAGCGGGAGCGAGGCCTCCTAAGCAAGCGAAGTGTCGGACATGAAAGCGGTAAATATCGAAGACGTCCCAGGCAAGTGCGCGAGCTTTGAGTAACCGAAAAGAAAGTCTCGAGCGAGAGCGCAATTCTTGGATACGTTGCTAGGGATCGCAATTTATTGTCGCTGCTGTTGTATACGAATGGCCTGCAATACGTATTGGCCACGAAACTTGCCCTGGTCACAGAAGCGGGTGCGACAGCCGAGAGGGGGGCCCTCCTCTTCCTCCGTCCTTCCGGGGTCGACCTTGTCCCGTGAGATGGGACGCTGTCCAGACCTCTGGCGTCGCGTCTTCATGTCACAGCGCTGGGACCCGAAGCACCCCTTCGCCAGGAGCCGGGTGGCATCGTTCGGGCTTTGGGAGACGTTTCTGGGCCCTGGTCCGTCGATAAAACAGCTCGGGATGGAAAGCTGGCCCCGGGAAGGGTGCCGAGAGTTCCAGGGGGCCAGCGATTCGGTCACGGTCGGTCGCGCACCATGGCAGCCGAAAGGATGGGAAGGTTCGTCCGCCAGACGGGGTCGAGAGTCCTGGGGCTGCCGCCAAAGAGAGAGGGAGGGGGCGGAGGAGGAGGAGGAGCAGGAG